CAGTTGTCTTTACAGAATGCGATAACCTGCAGTCATGGTATCGAAGGGTAGTGGCGGTCCAGGCAGATCCAGGATGGTCCTCAAGCTATCCCTGGTGATGCTTATGTTGCTGATATTTCCGATAGTGAGACTGGATAGTTAGAGCAGCTCTCTCGGTGGCATCTTGTCCTGTGAACTGAGTACATGGGTTGGCCCTCCTCACACCTCTCGCGGGGTAGGTGGTACAGCTGTACTGACAACTTCCTCTTCTCTCTTGATCTCTGCTTGCTCTCCTGTTCTGGATACACCAGCATAAGCAGTTTCAGGTGTTTGACTGGCTGCAAGGTTGAGTCTCTGATTGCTGGGAGCACCCGCTGGCCAGCCCTGGTACTGCAGCCCATAAGGCAGGTGAGTCCCACCATTGCTGGCCAGTCCATTCCTGACAGGCTGTGTCAATGAGGCCTACAGACCTTTGTCAAGTTTTTTTTTTTTGCTGTCTATGCCCCATCAGGGAGATTTCACTTCTTCTTGCAGCAACTCAACATAAAGTAAAAAGGTAAAGCTGACCTCCAGGAATTCAGTCGCTTTCTAAAATGTACTGACTTACTATGGGTTAAGTCCAACGAAGTGCATCCCACCTTGTGGACCTATTTCTTTCATTTACGTTTTAACCAAGCATCGGGAGTACAGCTATTGCTCTATTCCCGTCACCAACAGGAGAGATGCTGAATTCTCACATAGCAACAGCTCTGCCTGCCCCTCCCCTCCTCTGTTCATTCAAAGGGGGCTTTGTATTTTGTGAATGGGTTCACATAATAGAAAGCACTCTGATTAGGCAGGCAAACCAGCTGCATAGGACTCTGCAGCTACTGGAGCGGAGACGAGAAATTCCAGTGTTGGAGCACCAGAAGAATAGCAATGGCTATGTTCCCAGCGCTCAATAAAGATGTGAACTTTAAATTAAAGGGATCATGCACTTCATTGTACTTAACCAATAGTAATCCAGAACATTTTAGAAAGTGGCTGAATTTCTGGACTTCAAATTTATACTCTCTATAACAAGGGGAAATCCCATCTTGGAAACGTCACTGGCACAGGTGTCCCCATTACATTTCCTTTTCATTCCTGTTCCTCAATAGCTCTAAAAATGTGCATTTCCCATTGACAATGGTCACCAAGATGAATAGAGAGAGTGATTTTTCTTTTTCCTGCAAGGAGAGTAATAAAAACCTAAAATTTCCTCAGGCTATTCAAAACTCTATTAAAAACCTTAGTCACAAATATTCTTCTAATAGTGTAATCCTCTATGTAGAGAATGCATGGGAGGACCTCTAAATTTTGTAACTTTTTGCAGTCTGTAGCATTTTGGCAAATACAAGCAGTAATGCTGAACCTAGAAAACAACATCTGCATCCAACTCAACCAGAAAATGGGCATCATTTCCTAAGCTTTAACAACTGTTACTTACCATAATGGTCTGTATTTTAATCAATTAATAATAACATAAAATATATTATAAAATCATATTTATCATGACAAATAACATTTGTGATACAGTTTAGTAAATTGAGCATACAGTCCAAAGTGATTTCCCAGCATGCCTCAATACGTATCATTCAGACTGCCCCTGGTCACAGCTGATACTATGTAAAGACTGTATAGCTGCTGCAGAGGTTCGCAACTCTCAAGCTTTGCAGAACTACAATTCCCAGCATGCCCTGCTAGTCAACCATTGAAGAAAATGCACCAGGTGTAAAGGATACAGGTAGATAAACGTAGAATTGTTCTTACCTTCTGGACCTGTTCATCTGTCACCAGAGCCATATTAGCTGAGCAAAGCCGCCTGTGACCTGCTGACCAGGGGAAGATCGGAGAAAACACAGCAGATGATCCAGAGAGATAAAGTACAAGAGGCCACGCATTCCTCCCCAGCCATGTGACTATAATCAGCTGACCAAAAGACAAAAGAGATTTAGCCCAAAAAAAAAACCCTGTGCATTTCTGCTATTGTGTGCAAATTAAAGCAGACCTGTCATACTGGTTTTGAAAACAGCCAAGCAAAAAAAAAGGTGATTTTCTTTTCTGCCCATGTGTTCAATGCAGCAACACCATGTACAGAATGTAAGGAAAAACAGGCAGGATAGTATAACTGCATGGTGTTTATTATAACACGTGTTTCCGGAACTCATTCACATGAGCAGGACATACCTGTAGTAATATGAATTGTAATAAAATAAAAATGTAATAGTCACTATTCTTGATATATTTGTTTCTAGCATCAGGAAATTAGCGTGGTTGTAATCAGGGGCAGACTGACAACTCATGGGGCCTCTGGGCAATAGGGGATCATGGGGCCCGTGTCCTCACCCACACTCAAACCACACCCAAAAAAGCCTATGAAAGGTACCAGGGGCATCTCATGGGGCCTCCTACTGACCCCGGGCCCTCGGGCAATGCCCGAGTTCCCAAATGGTCAGTCCGCCCCTAGTTGTAATAACATCCCAGTTCAGAGAATGATGTCCTTCACTATGTGTACTTTACAGGACCCTGCCTGTAACTCTAACACTAACCATCCCTGTAACCCTAACACTAGCCCTCCCTGTAACCCTAACACTAGCCCTCCCTGTAACCCTAACACTAGCCCTCCCTGTAACCCTAACACTAACCCACCCTGTAACCCTAACACTAACCCTCCCTGTAACCCTAACACTAACCCTCCCTGTAACCCTAACACTAGCCCTCCCTGTAACCCTAACACTAACCCTCCCTGTAACCCTAACACTAACCCTCCCTGTAACCCTAACACTATCCCTCCCTGTAACCCTAACACTAACCCTCCCTGTAACCCTAACACTAGCCCTCCCTGTAACCCTAACACTAACCCTCCCTGTAACCCTAACACTATCCCTCCCTGTAACCCTAACACTAGCCCTCCCTGTAACTAACACTAACCGTCCCTGTAACCTTAACACTAACCCTCCCTGTAACCCTAATCCTCCCTGTAGTCCTAACACTAACCCTCCCTGTAACCCCAACACTAACCCTCCCTGTAACACTAAAGCTAACCCTCCCTGTAATCCTAACACTAACCCTCCCTGTAACCCTAACACTAACCCTCCCTGTAACCCTAACACTAACCCTCCCTGTAACCCTAACACTAGCCCTCCTTGTAACTAACACTAACCCTCCCTGTAACCTTAACACTAACCCTCCCTGTAACCCTAATCCTCCCTGTAGTCCTAACACTAACCCTCCCTGTAACCCCAACACTAACCCTCCCTGTAACACTAAAGCTAACCCTCCCTGTAATCCTAACACTAACCCTCCCTGTAACCCTAACACTAACCCTCCCTGTAATCCTAACATTAACCCTCTCTGTACCACTAACACTAACCCTTCCTGTAACCCTAACACTAATCCTCTATGTAGCACTAACCCTCTCTGTAATCCTCACACTAGCTTTCTATGTAACACAAATTCTCCCTGCAATTCTTACATTAATCCTCTGTATAACCCTAACACTAACCATTTGTGTAACACTAACCCTGCCTATAATCCTTATACTAGCTCTCTGTGCAGTAACGCTTACACTCACCATCTGGGTAACCTTCACACTCAAGGTTAGGCCAAGGGGTAGGCAAATGGTGGCCACCTCAGCGGCATAGGTTAAAGGTCTTGCCCTTCTAGCATGCCAGCTGAGGTGGCCAAAGAGGTGGTTCACAGCTCATTTGGGGGGATATACACTGGCCGTTTTGCTTTTGGGCACTAATGGCCTTTGTCTCAGCACTGTTCACTCCAATCCTCTGTTGTCATATATACTACAGTATCTCTTGTAGCCCTGACACTAACCCTCCCTTACGTATACCTAACCAATTGCCTGACCACACCGGCATCCTTGGTGCCAAAGACCAACCCCTCCTACAGTGAAAAATACTAACACCAGAAACTTGATACCGTACTCTACTGTTACAGATTATACTGTAGGTGTGTTGATGGAGTTTTTTTATGGTTTTTAATTTTGTTGTTCAGTTAAAAATGAAATGTTGCAAAGGAATCTCTTAAATTTACCAGGTGACGCTATACCCAAGAACTACACTTTGTAAAGTCTTCCTTTCAGGCAGCTTCTGTTCTATAAATATGCCTGGATGAGCCTCCTCTACTAGTACAGACAGCAACATCCTATCTAGTGGATTAACAGTCTGCCAGACAGCTTATAAAAAAAAAATAACATTGTTTAAAAAAAGAATCGTGAAGGAAAACTAGGAAGTTTTTTTTTAACAAATATTTAATAGAAATAGGTAAAAATGTACACATTTTTTGCTTATAAATATTTAACATCTCAAAAATGTAAATTGGAACAAAAAAGTATAGGGCCTATATGATGACATCAGCTAGGGAGGTGGTGACAAGACTGGTCTGAGACCGAAAATAAGAGTGGCTTTGGGGGACATTACATAACAATTGGAACCATTGGGGAGGAAGCCTGTGGGAGCCTGCATTAAGGTATTACCCTGTTGGAATACAGTGTTCATGTATTTTATGCAGCAACGACATCAGTGTTCAGTATATTCTTCAACCAGTAGATGGCAGTGTTTATAAATCTGTAGCTGCATCTATGGTACATTTTTATGTCTTTTCTCTGAATAAAGTTTCCTGTTTCCTTGTTGCAGTGAAGCAGAAAAGCACATGTGGACTGTGCACTGTCTGGTCTATAGGGCTATATACAGAATTTCTAACATACCTTGTGTTAGATCATTCCCTATAAGTATATAGGGGCATCTTATTCATCAGCTAGAGTCAGAAGATAATATTAATCATCTTATTACTGCCTAGAGTTAGACTTTAAACCAAAACCTATACTGTGCCCAATCACAATCTAGTATTTTAACTGCCTCCCACCCACCATATAAAGGAAATGACGGACAGGTGGTGGTTCTCTAGTTCTGGGAAGACATCATATGACGTCCTCCCAGTCTAACCGCACGTGCGCGCCCCAGGGCCGTGCAGCGCGGTGATCGGTGGTGCCAAGGACACAGCGGAACACCGTTCAGTGGGAAGAGCCGATGACGTCGGCTCTGTCATGTGATCAGCTGTGTCCAATCACAGCTGATAGCATGTAAATAAAGGAAATGCCGGTTATCGGTATTCCTCTCCTCATGAGCTGTCAAGCTGACAGCTCGTGAGGAGAGGACAGATGGTAATCGGCATTCCTCAGAGGGGACATGTACACTGATCATAGGGCACTGATGAGCAGTGTAGCCCCATCAGTGCCACCTGTCAGTGTCCATTAGTGCCCAGCAGTGCCACATCAATGCCACATATCAGTGCCTACCAGTGTACATCAATGCCACATATCAGTGCACATCTGAGCTGCCTTTCAGTGCGGCCTATCAGTGCTGTCAATCAGTGCCACCTATCAGTGCCAGTCAGTGCCACCTATCAGTGTGCATCAGCGCTGCCTATCAGTGACCATCAGCGCTGCCTATCAGTGCCCATCAGTGCCACCTATCAGTGCCATATATGAGTGCTACCTTTCAGTGCCCATCAGTGATGCCTGTCAATGCCCATCAGTGTCACCTACTAGTGCCTCCTCATCAGTGCCGCCTATTAGTGCCTATCACTGCAGCCTATCAGTGTCCATCACTGCAGCCTCATTAGCGTACATCAGTGAAGGAGAAAAATCACTAATTTACAAAATTTTATAACAGAAACTAAGAAAAAAAATTTTTTTTTTCAAACATTTTCAGATGCTTTTGGTTTGTTTAGCAAAAAATAAAAAAACCCAGAGGTGATTAAATACCACCAAAAGAAAGCTCTATCTGCCTCAAAAAACATTATATAAAAATTTCATATGAGTACAATTTTGCATGACCGCGTAATTGTCAAAGTACGACAGCACTGAAAGCTGAAAATTGGCCTGGGCAGGAAGGTGGTAAAAGTGCCCGGTAGGCAAGTGGTTAATGGCTGTGCCTTGGGGAAACACTACAGGAGCATTTTTTGGTGGATTAACACGTTTTTGTCCCCATAGACTTCAATAGCAGCACGCATAAAAATACAGTGAAAATACATGAAAAGCGCACATCAAAAATGTGCAAAAATTCTGCATGAAACTGTAGATGCAAGGTTGTGAACCTAGCCTGAATGTTGCTTAGTGCATGTGCTGTGTCTGACTCCACCTGTGTGGACGCTAAAGCTTCCTTGCGCAAAGGACCACAGATGACAACTGAAGATCCCAGTAACAATTACCTAAATATATTCTAAAGTTATTAAATAAATAAATATACAATAATTCTTTGTGATATAATTGGTGAACTCATTTGTTTTAATACAAATTGAAATAATGTAACTTCGCTAAATATCCTCTAAATCATAACCTTCCTAATGCCGCGACCCTTTCATACAGTTCCTCATGTTGTGGTGACCCCCAACCATAAAATTATTTACCCCGTTTTACCTCCAATACTGCTGCTTTCAGCACAGTGCTGCTCTCTACACAGTGGCTGCTCCACAAGCAGTGCTCTTTAAACATCGGAAATATGTGTTTTCCTGATGGTCTTAGGTGACCCCTGTGAAAGGGTCATTCGACCCCCAAAGGGGTCGCGACCCACAGGTTGAGAACCACTGCTCTAAATCAAGTGCTATACCACAAATGTGTAAATAATAGCTAACCATAATAAACACCCCAAAACAATGTTTGTCATATGTGCAAAATAAAATGAAGCAATAAATAATTCTAAAAATCAATCTGTGTGTCTCCTAAATCAGGTGCTATGCCATAAATGTATAAAATGATTACAAATTAAACACGTGAGAAAATTGACTGAATGAATATAAAGCATATTCAATTCAAATGAATAAAGTGCAAATTCATAAAATATACGTTACATGGAAAAAATTCATAGACTGAAATGCGCAAGATGTGGCTTTCTGAAGTGACGTTGTCCCGCACCACCAGTCCGCTCGCCGTTTGAGATGACAGCCGGAGCAGACAGCAGGGTTTGAGATTCAGTGGTTATTCCTTAGTATCAGGTTGGCACTCTTGGTTGTAAGTTTTTTAATTACAATTGTTTTGGGGTGTTTATGTGGTTAGCAATTATTTACATATTTGATTCAGAGGATATTTAGCGTGGTCACATTATTTCATTTTGTACTCAGACATTTGTCTTTAGTTGACTGCAGTCTAAGAGTAAAATAAGTTTTCATTCAATTGGCGCAGACACTCTGTTTATTATAATTTATTGTTTTACTAGAATTTAAAGTTAAAATCCAGGCAGAAACAAGCTCTAATTCAGGCAGGTATGTGTTCCCTAAAACACTAGTTTTTTTTTTTTTTTTTTTTTAAATCAACTGGTGTTCATACCTGAATTTAACATGGTATCAGCCCCTTTACAAATGTGCCAAGAAGGCTGATAGGAGGAGTTAAAATAGTGAGCAGAGAGATAACCTCAACAGTATGCTGCTCCTCCTTACTGTTCATTCATAAACAGGGAGTAGGGACAAGACCTTGACTGTGCTGTACATAGCCAGACAGAGAACAGAACTGTGGGAGGGGCTCAGCAGCTCTCACCCACTACAGGATACCTGCATAAAACTACAGGAGGGGGTGGAGACAAGACAAGACACCCTGCACAAGGAGAAAGAGCAGAAGGGACTGGTCTTTATTACAGGAAGAAAAAGGGACATGAGCTACTTTTGAAGCAAAATGGGGTTTTTGGCCCTATAGACCTGAAAATGACCATAAAATGCCTGAAAATTGGTGCTTTAAGCTCCTAAACAATCTCCTAGTAACTAGCTTTCCACTGGCTAAAACAAAAACGCTCAACCCTGAATACACCTGAGAAAACAGGAAAAATACACAGAAAAAAAAAACCCGCTCTAAAATCACCTGTAAACAATTCCACTTAGGTGAGAATGCAGCCTTACTGTACTGAAAATTCAGAAAAGCGGTAAAGTTCACAAACATAGTAAACTACGCTCTAAAGACACATGCTAAAACTCAACGGGTTTTTTTTTGCCAATGTGTAGGCAGGTTGCCTATGGTAGTAAGCTAGCATTTTTTTTTTTCAGGGTCTGACCCACTGATCCTGGACTTTATAGACTACGCCAGGTATGGACTCTAACCTATGCAGGTATGCTGGGGCAGCCATAGTTGTAGGTTCAGTTAAGAAAAAATTGTTTGCTCTCTTGAACTGCTATGCTGAAGATTTCTTTAGTAAAGCATTGAAATGTTTTAATGCATGATCTGAAGTTATTCAAAGGGTGTATGAAAGTAACCAGCACTTTACACATAGTCTGCAGCTTGGGTCAGTAAAGCACACTGGGTTACAAAGACAGACTCTGCAAGAGTTTACATGGTATAAAGTTAAATCAAGCAGTTGCTATAAGTACCTGAAGTTTAGCAAGCAGTACAAGCAGCCGCCATGAAGCGTGGTACCAGTGACAGTTGTCCTCTAGAAGTGAGGGAGTCCCTTCTAGTATTCATTCTCCGAGTGATCCATTTCCCATAGCAACAGGAGCAGATCAGAACAGTAGAGGCCCTCGTCCTGGCCACTAGGTACAGAAGAGGAATAGTTAATTAAGTGCACGCACAAGGTCCCAGCAGGCTGCATGGTGGGACCCTGTTTTTTCACTGGAAGTGAGGTGACAGAGATACACTGAACAGGTGGCGTGGGCATAGGCTCAGCATGTCCCTCCTAATTGCAAACAGTTACAGTCAAGGTGTGCATTGGCATGCGACCAGAGAGTTAACTGGAGTTCAGTTAATTTGCTCAGTGTACATGGTGTTTGGCCATCTCTACGTTGGAGGTCCACTTTAAGTTTGAGTTATCCCTGATAGCAGCCTCCACCTTGTCCTAGGGCATTGATGAGCATGACACAGTAAAGATACCACATGTGCAGGGCGGGTGACCCCGTTCAAGGTGCCTAACATAGCCCAGAAGAACCCACACCAGGAGTAGGCCTCCAATGTCACTCTACACTTGGCACTCAACCAGGGAACATGGAGGAAGGCACACCTACCTACCCCCCAGCCAAACGTTTACAAATGTGTCCATCCACCTGAGACTTTGCACATGCTGCTAGCAATTAATAACAAATATACATATGTGATAATATGAATACATAGACTTTGCTGATCCTGTGGTAGACGATTGCAGCTGAAGATGGTGGAAACAGAAAGTAGCAATTTTAGTATCAACCCAGTACAGTCCAGAAGCCCCATGATTGTTAACATGCCACATCCTAAATCGCAAGTAAAATCCTCTCTTGTATTAAAAGAGGTATAGACTCCAGAGAGAGAGATATCATATTACCCCGGTACAAATCATTAGTTATAACCTCATCTGGAATATACAGTTCAGTTTTGGGCACCAATTCACAAAAAGAACATTGGGGAACTGGAAAAAGTACAGAGAAGGGCAACCAAACTGATACGAGGCATGGAGGAGATCTGCTGTGAGGAAAGATTAGAGGAACTGAATTTATTCTCTCTTTGAGAAGAGGAGATTAAGGGGGGATATGTCAGTGTATAAATCATCAATGGTTATATAGTGAACTCGGTGTAGAGCTATTCACCCTGAGGTCATCACAGAGGACAAGGGGCACTCTTTACATCTGGAGGAAAATACATTTAATCTCCAAACACGGAAAGGTTTCTTCACAGTGAGAGCTGTGAAAATGTGGAATAGACTCCCTCAAGAGCTGGTTTCTGGACAGCTCAGTGGATTGCTTTAAATAAGGCCTGGATTATTTCTTAGATACACAGAATATAACTGGATACTAACATTTATAGGTAAAGTTGATCCAGGGAATACATTGCCTCTCGGGGTTCAGAAAGGAGTTTTTTCCCCTGCAGGAGCACATTGCATCATGCTTTGCTGGGTTTTTTGCCTTCCTCTGGATCAACTGTGGGTGTGGGATTATAACTTTTTTTTTTTTTTTAATGGTTGAACTGGATGGACTTTTGTCTTTTTTCAGCCAAACTAACTATGCAACTATGGTCAGACAGCTCTCCAATGCGCAACACCCTTAGATTACCAACCAGCCAAGCAGTACAGTATATCAGCTCATCCCTCCTGCCAAGCAGCTTGAACCTCCATGTGAGCAGTTAGATGCAAGCTGAAAATACTGCTACACCCTACACTGACCATCAATATGACAACAGCTGCTTGCTATCACAGATGAATATACAGTACACATCCACAATGAAATCTGTAATCGTACACATGCAGTGCTTTTCTTTTAGTGGTCCCAACACCCAAGGGTAAAGGATAAACTGTGCCCTCCACTATACGTAAAATGCAGATGAACCAGAAATTCAGACCTCAAAACACTCACAGAGGTCAGTTTACGTTTTGGTAAGTCAATCCAATGGAGGGATCACCTGCATCTGTATGTTCTTTGTATATAAAGGTATTTTTAAATTGAGAAGGAAAGACTCTACACTCCATCCTTACAAACAAGATGACAACAGCTGCAATTATGGATGGATTCATACCTATGCCATCTATTTATTTAGCTTACCAAAACATGAACTGACCTCTGAGTGCTTTGAAGTCTGAATTTCCAGAAAGTCTGCACTTACAT